GACACAGTTTGGCTGTGTGAGTAAAGAAGGATGTACTATAACGGGTTATTATAGTGTGACCCACATCCACACAGACACAGTTTGGCTGTGTGAGTAAAGAAGGATGTACTATAACGGGTTATTATACTGTGGCCCACATCCACACAGACACAGTTTGGCTGTGTGAGTAAAGAAGGATGTACTATAACTGGTTATTATAGTGTGGCCCACATCCACACAGACACAGTTTGGCTGTGTGAGTAAAGAAGGATGTACTATAACAGGTTATTATAGTGTGACCCACATCCACACAGACACAGTTTGGCTGTGTGAGTAAAGAAGGATGTACTATAACAGGTTATTATAGTGTGACCCACATCCACACAGACACAGTTTGGCTGTGTGAGTAAAGAAGGATGTACTATAACTGGTTATTATAGTGTGGCCCACATCCACACAGACACAGTTTGGCTGTGTGAGTAAAGAAGGATGTACTATAACGGGTTATTATAGTGTGACCCACATCCACACAGACACAGTTTGGCTGTGTGAGTAAAGAAGGATGTACTATAACGGGTTATTATGGGTTATGTATAGTGTGACCCACATCCCACAGACACAGTTTGGCTGTGTGAGTAAAGAAGGATGTACTATAATGGGTTATTATAGTGTGACCCACATCCACACAGACACAGTTTGGCTGTGTGAGTAAAGAAGGATGTACTATAACAGGTTATTATAGTGTGACCCACATCCACACAGACACAGTTTGGCTGTGTGAGTAAAGAAGGATGTACTATAACTGGTTATTATAGTATGGCCCACATCCACACAGACACAGTTTGGCTGTGTGAGTAAGAAAGGATGTACTATAACGGGTTATTATAGTGTGACCCACATCCACACAGACACAGTTTGGCTGTGTGAGTAAAGAAGGATGTACTATAACAGGTTATTATAGTGTGACCCACATCCACACAGACACAGTTTGGCTGTGTGAGTAAAGAAGGATGTACTATAACTGGTTATTATAGTGTGGCCCACATCCACACAGACACAGTTTGGCTGTGTGAGTAAAGAAGGATGTACTATAACGGGTTATTATAGTGTGACCCACATCCACACAGACACAGTTTGGCTGTGTGAGTAAAGAAGGATGTACTATAACAGGTTATTATAGTGTGACAGCTGTGCCTCCAACTCGGCCCAGCAAATACCAACTCGGATAACCAACCTTTAACTCAAACATTCTAATGTATGTTTATATCAACGACATAACATAAAACATTTATTACCTTTACCACGAGGGAGGGAGGAAGGCCCACAAATTAACATTTACTCACAAAATTAACAACAATAAACAAGACGGCCACCTTGGTTGATGTTGACCTGCTACACCTGGTCCGATTCTCTTATCTTTCAGTAACTACAAGTTTTCATTATTAATACTATAATAAAATTATTTTATTAATAAATATTACATAATATAAATAAATCATACTTTCATTATAATGTTTTATTTTTTATTAAATTACCGCTAATAGATATAATAATAATATTAAACTAAACTTAAGTCAGTGGCTGGAGAACCGAATAGCTTGACAACATTTACAATTTTACTAAAATAAATTTAAACAATAAAATTTTGTGTTTAACTATTTTAAGTTTATTTATTAATATTTTATTAATATATAACACTACAGTATATATATTCAGTTAACGAACGACTCCGTGGAACCAATTGTGTCGGTTAATGGAGGGACCACTGAAGATAATTTAGCGACCCTCCCTGGTGACAACCTTAACCTAACGTGGGTCAACACTCCACTATCCACCTATATGAACCTTCATTAATGTGGAACAAGTCCATTATAAGAACAATTCACTGGACAATACTCACGGCAGTAGGTATAACCTGTAGTATTTGATCACTAACTTGAACTATCATCATTATTGTTGTGGAATGTTCCTAAAAGTACAGTAATTATTTACCTATTATACAGTACAGCATTAATTTATGGCAAGATTGATGCCAAAAAACTATATTTAAGTATAACTTAACCCAAATATAATACCCCATTTGTTTGTAAAGTTTCCTGGCTTTTCCCTGCAGTCGACACCCCAATACTGTAGTCTATATTATTTTTAAAACGTATATGAAGGCCTTTTAAAAAATACGGGCAAAGCCTAAGTAATCTACTTAAAATATCTAATTATTTCAAAGGTCATTAACACAATTACAGTCAACCCTCGCTTTACGCGGTCCCACTTTACGCGTTTCCACGTTTACGTGGTACCCTGCCAAACACGGAATGCTCACTTTCCGCGGTGTGTGTACCCTTTTACGCGGAGAGCGTCGCGAGCAGGGTGCGCACAAGGTCGCCCAGTCATCAAAACATTACCGAATTCTTCGCACGCCACACACCACAGCCGGCCCAAGTCAGTGATAATGATAGTGAGGATATGGACTTATATGGACTTTGAGGGGTTTGACAAAGAGGCCCTGCAAGCCTCTGTGGTGGATAGTGATACAATTGAAACAAGTGACACAGGTGAGGGCCAATAATCTGCCCTCTGCCTCGGAACCAACCCCCCATCCCCGTGTGCCCAGCCATCTTTTCTTCTAATGTAAGTGTTAAAAAACCTAATATTATTGATATTTCTCTTAATTATTAATTGTGTGTGCATACCATCATAAAATTAAGATGTTATTTTTACTATCACGTAGGTATTGTGTCTGAAAAAGTGGAGTTTGGGGGTCGGCCCGGTCTCTATTTCAATTAATCCCATATGTTATGTTGTTCACTTTACGTGTTTCTCACTTTACGCAGGCCGCCGTGGGTTCAATTGACCGCGTAAAGTGAGGGTTCACTTGAATTTTTAAACGGTGATCCCAGGTCCTTAATAAAAACTAAAACCACAAAGATATACACTGTACTGTACAGTGGGGTATGCTATAACGAATGTAATTGGTTCTAGAACCTTGTTCGTTATAGCATTCGTTCGTTATAGGATTAATCCGTTCCAGGCCCCCAAATACAACCACTTAACACTGAAAAATATAATATAAAATTGTAAAAATTGTAAAAAAGTGCATAAATATGCATCTAAACCCCTGCAATAAAGCATATAATTAATACTTGTAATAAAAAACAATAAATTAGTAAAAAAAAAAAATTTAAATAATGTTCGTTGTAGGAGTTTCGTTCGTTATAGCATTCTCAATTTTATAGGTAGAACCGTTCGTTATAGGAATATTCGTAGTAGGATCCGTTCGTTATAGCATACCCCACTGTACCTTATGTTATAACAGAAAGTTTCCAATGTGGTGCAGCAAGAGACCCATTAACCAAAACAAACCTTCGTCTTGTGGCCCATATCTTACATCTTCACGTCACCTTCCTGGAATGAATAACATTTCAGCAACTAATAAATTCAATACTCTGGGCAGTAATATTATATAATATGTATACAGTACTGTACAGTATTATATTATACAGGAACTCATTAAATCTTCAAAAATTTAAATACAATATTATGGTTAAATTAAGACATTTTCATAAAACTTATTAAAGAGAATAATAAAACACTTTAGAAAATCTTACCTCGACGAATGACACGAGGAACTTCATTAACCACGATCAGCGAGGCAGCAATATGGTAGTTGTCTTAACACTACAGTAACAACCAATTGGAGCCATACACTGTAAACAAAATAACCCTGTTACTCTTTTTGTAGAAACTCAGATAATTTTTTGTTCCAACATGTTGGAGACGAAACAACCTTGTAAAGGATTGCCAACACGGTTTTATGCCGGGGCGCTCCTGCTTAACACAATTGCTCAAGGTACTGGATATTTGGACCCATATTCTGGAACAGGTGGTAATATAGACAATATTTACCTAGATTTTACCAAGTCTTTCGACAGTGTAACCCAAGAAAGGCTGAAAATCAAACTGGAAGGGTACAGAATTAGAGGAAATGTCCTAGCGTGGGTAGAAGACTTTCTACATGACCGCAAGCAGTGTGTGGCGATTCATGGCACGAAATCGTCATCCGTACCTGTCACAAGCGGGGTACCACAGGGCAGTGTATTGGGCCCGCTGTTGTTTGTTTGTTTCATAATGACATGCCTGACGTTGTACACTCCTCCATACAAATGTTGCAAATGACGCCAAATTATTTCGGGAAATCAAGAGCCAAGCAGACTGTGAAGAGCTGCAGAAGGACCACAAGTTAACTCTGGTCAACAACTTTCTTAATACCACTTACTAGTCACTAATGGATAACACCTGCTAAATTCACAAGTTATATCCCACTGCCATAAGGGTTTAATTATCTATAAACGCCGATATTGTGAAGCGTCTTGCGATTTCTCCTTTCCCAGAGAATTAAAATACCATCGAAGACATGATTTGGTTAGGTTAGGTTTGAATCCCGCCAAATTGATATTTTCCCCGAGAATTAAAACCTCACCATCGTTCACACGATTTGGTTAGGTTAGAATCCCACCAAATACAGCGACAAAATGTAAATTTCTTGTCAAAAAATAAACTGCAACTCTACAGTAAAGTTCCCAAAATGTCTCAAAAGCTAATATTTTACTACAAACAGAAATTTAGCCATAAATAAAAAGTACCACATTCTTATAACCAATTTTTTTTTACTTCAATCAAATAAAAAAATCTTTCCCAAAATAAAAATGACCCAAAATCCCACCTTGGTTAATATATAGGACTAACCTGCCATAGTGCCGATGCTGCTGTATCACCTCACGTCCGGAAAATGTCTCAAATATCACCGTATAGTAAGTTTTTCTGTTTAATATACCGGGGAAGTTAGGTTAGGTAGGTTTGTTTGGTTATGTCTGTCCTTCATAACCACAAATGTTAAGTAGCGTTTATTTAAAAAACATCCATTTACTAACATTACCACAAACAGTGGCCACTATAATATAACAATGAAAATCTGATGTTTTTATAATAGTTATCAATCCATTTTGCTCTTGGTTTAGTCCTATATAATTACCCCCACCTCAATTGGACGACACAAAGATCTTAACTACAATCAACTTTAACGATCCATGAGGCTGTAACGAGGTGGTTGTCTCCTCCATCTTAAACAGTGACAAGCAATAAATTGTATAAAAATTAGAATAATGACTGTTATTGCCGATGGCTTCAGCTACAGTGCTGGCGTGTGATGCCATTAAATCTTTCGACCCGTGACCTCGCCAGATGTAGAAGTGTTTACAGACAAGTCCTGGCTCTGCTGAGTGGAATGTCTTCGGCGGGTGGTGGTGCTGCCCGCCCCGCCATGAGACAGATCGCCCTCTCTCGTGAGGCTGATGAACACCGACTCATAATCCTGTCTGAGAATTTGTGCTGGGACAATTTACTCAGTACTGTTGTCTCTTGGAACACCATACTGATCTGCATTGACCCGCACTTGTAAGTACAGCCTAAGTGATGACATACCCCTCAGTACTGAAATATTGTTGACTAAATACCCCTACTCGTTTCTGTCTAACCTGGAGTAATAAGACAATGCAGAATGAAGCATAACTAAGATTAATAGAGTTATGAACTTTGTATCATGTCACTATGTTTAATAAATTGTAATTAAGATAAAATTGTGTGAGACTAACTCATTATGTATCAGATGGTTCACCATGTAATATTATGAACATCTCCTCTGTAGGTTTTGACCACATCAATAAATATTGAATGAGTCAAAAGGAGAGTTTCAATCATTCCCTTCGACTTGCCCGTCACCTGAACGACCTTAACCAAGGCGTTTACAGTTATGTAATATACACATATCAAATAGTGTATTGTGCATAATGAATATATTTCTGAAAATCTTTAAGAGTTGTGAGGGATAAAAGCTTCACCCATTCAACTCTCACTGCACAGTAAGTCAGTGAAGAGTTGTTGATTGAAGGAAATTGTGAATATTTAAGTTTTAATGAAGAATGGTTAGGTTAGGTTAGGTTATGTGAAGACATTCATAAGCCGGAACAAAAGCTATATACAGTATATATTTTTTATGGGTAAAAGTCCACCCGGGCACAGGTCATGACCCACAACAGGGCCTAGGGGAGGGAAGAGTAAAAATAAATTTTAAAAATATAAAATAAAAAGGTTATATTAATGTACACCGCCAGAGAAGCATCTTGTTTAAAGTGAGACAGATTGTATGGAAACACAGAAGAAGGCAGAGCATTCAACAGTGTGAGGAAAGAAGGATGTACTATAACGGGTTATTATAGTGTGACCCACATCCACACTGTGGGCAAGACACCAGCCCACGGTACACAGGATGCTACTTGTTAACAGAGGCTTTACTGTATAATTGAATCAATGTTGAGAGAAAGAAACCTAACCTAACCAAACCTAGCCGGGTTACTACGCCCAGTATTGATTCATCTTGTTTTGGTAATGAATATTGACGCCGGTCCTGGATTATGTCAACAATTGTATATAATTGTTCTTCCTCTATGAATTTCTTTGTTATCATCTAACAACACAGCTAGGTTGTAACACAGTACCATAAATCATTATAATTTGACCATAATTATAGTAATAAAAGTAACTTATGATGTACAAGGAGAGATTTATCCTCTTCCGTAAAAACTCGTCCAGTCATAGTTGCCGCCATAATCTTGTAAACATTACTCTCGATGGCGACTGGCTGCCGTAATGGTGTAGATGAAACGTGATTGGCTGGATTTTCAGTGTTTGAATCTTTGCTCGTAACTGAAGAAAATGCGGAACAGACCAGATCCGGGGTTCAAGCCGATGTTCTGAATATGGGTAATAATCCACTGGAAGAAATCTAGGCTCAAGGAATCCCGATTCGCACACCCGAGTCGAGCTCAAACCCCAGGCTCAAACTACCGTCCTGAATTTGGGTCCATTGACAGGTAGACAACTATAGACAGAGAGAAAATTAGATGGAGAAACAAAATGTACTATAAGTAATATTTCACATAGTGTGTTGTGTTACACCAGGAGGAGGGGTTAGAGGCAGCCGTTCACTACCTCCAACTATTGCTGTCTCAAGTTTGTAAGTCATAATAACTATACTGTACAATATTATATTTTCATGAATGAGTTCTGATATAATAATAATTTTTAGGGTAATTGCTTCGTTTGGTAGATAATTAGGTGACTAGGCGAGAACTACTTTGTCTGGCGCACATCACTTGTCTTTCTCGGTGGTGATGCGGCGGTACACAGCCAATCATCTCCACTCAACGCCAGTCACCAGTGTAGGTTTATGAGCCACACAGATCAGGCGGCTGCTCTCAGGTCCACAAAAAACGTCAAATTACACCATATAATAGGAAGTTCTTTCTGTTTAATATGCCGGGGGTTCTGGAAGGTTAGGTTAGGTTAGGTTAGGTTAGGTCAAGTTTATTTGGTTAGGTTGGCAAGGTCTTCTAACAATGCTTCTGCCACTTGCATTAGTTATCAAATATGGTTAGGTTAGGTTACGTCACATTTAATTTAGAAATAACCAAGTTTTAACACATTTTACATAACTGGGACAGTGTTCACTACAAAACAGTGAAATTAAAACGTTTTTAAATTTGTTTAATATTGAGCGGGTGTTAAGTGTTGCAGTAGTGGGTGTTGCTTCTGGTAACATGTGTTGGTGGTGACTCAGTGACTCAGCTGGTGTTAAGTGTTGCAGTAGTGGGTGTTGCTTCTGGTAACATGTGTTGGTGGTGACTCAGCTGGTGTTAAGTGTTGCAGTAGTGGGTGTTGCTTCTGGTAACATGTGTTGGTGGTGACTCAGTGGCTCTCAACTGGTGTTAAGTGTTGCAGTCGTGGGTGTTGCTTCTGGTAACACGTGTTGGTGGTGACTCAGTGACTCTCAGCTGGTGTTAAGTGTTGCAGTAGTGGGTGTTGCTTCTGGTAACATGTGTTGGTGGTGACTCAGCTGGTGTTAAGTGTTGCTGTAGTGGGTGTTGCTTCTGGTAACATGTGTTGGTGGTGACTCAGCTGGTGTTAAGTGTTGCAGTAGTGGGTGTTGCTTCTGGTAACATGTGTTGGTGGTGACTCAGTGACTCTCAGCGGGTGTTAAGTGTTGCAGTAGTGGGTGTTGCTTCTGGTAACATGTGTTGGTGGTGACTCAGTGACTCTCAGCTGGTGTTAAGTGTTGCAGTAGTGGGTGTTGCTTCTGGTAACATGTGTTGGTGGTGACTCAGTGACTCTCAGCTGGTGTTAAGTGTTGCAGTAGTGGGTGTTGCTTCTGGTAACATGTGTTGGTGGTGACTCAGTGACTCTCAGCTGGTGTTAGTGTTGCAGTAGTGGGTGTTGCTTCTGGTAACATGTGTTGGTGGTGACTCAGCTGGTGTTAAGTGTTGCAGTAGTGGGTGTTGCTTCTGGTAACATGTGTTGGTGGTGACTCAGCTGGTGTTGCTTCTGGTAACATGTGTTGGTGGTGACTCTCCATCAAGTAAGGCCGCTGGCTGACTGAGTCTGTTTTAACAACAACAGTAGTGACACTGTCCCTACACTCTCCATGTGCACCAATAATGATCAAACAACTGGTGGTAGTGACACACATTACCCAGCAACAGACAGTACTGTACAACAGACAGTACTGTACTAGACAGGTAACACGTCTTACTAAAGTACCACGGTTCACCTTGGCTATATATAAGTTAATAAACAACTCACAGTGACGTAGTGAAGTATTAAATCCTCCAAGTTTGTATTTTAATTAACACATTTTGGTCGACTTAATGTTTACAAGTGAGGCGATGAACACTGTTAATAACTTACCACGAACAACTCAACTTTACCTAATATAATAATATAAACTAACATCACATAGTTTAAACAATTATTATTTACTTAATATTATCTGAAAAACAAACTTTACTCTACTACTGATACACTTTTAAATAATTGTATTACTTCTACTTATTATTGTATTATAAACTGGATACTAGGTAATAATAAACTATCAACAAGTAGTTATCGCGACACTAAGTAATAAACTATCATCAGGTAGTTATAGTAACACTGAGTAATAATTAACTATCATCAGGTAGTTATGTTAGGTTTAATTAGTTAGTTGAAGTTAAGCAATAAATAAGCTAGTTCGCGGTAATATTATAACACTGATCAGCTCCCATCCACCCCTCCCCCCAGTACCAAGGAAAGTACTTTATATACTTTCTTTGGCCGATAATTTTACATATATATTCATTAGTCTCTGTTACGGTACATCTCGGCTATGAAAATTAGTGCTATGAGTTTAAATTAATTTGCCAAGGTTGACTTTTATAAATGAATCAGTGTTTGAGCTGTACTGCCAAGAGGATAAAAGTAAATATTCTTTTATTATTTCATAACTTGATCTGTGTATTATTTTATTGTTTTATGCTCCTATATTGGGTGATAAAAGTGTTTGTATTATACAGTTATTTATTTTTTTACTTTCTTCTACATAAAACATAAATGGGGTCTGCCCGTTTCGTCACCACTGCTCTACCCGTTTCGTCACCGCGTTCATTCCCATCATTATATATATGAAAGTAACTGTTGCTTGGGATAGAAAATAATAACAAACACAAAGATAATTTACTAAAGACTAAAATAAAACCTAAAACATTGTTAATATGCCTACAATCATCTCACTGCTCGATGGTTTATGTGCTGGTGCTAAATCACCTTTATTTTTTTCTGTATTTTGTTTATTTACCAAAGGTTTTAATCGTTTTTTTTATTAAATAATTAATGTTCATGTATAATAACACAATACTTCTTGAGTCGTCTGTATACATGTGTCATATTGAGTCAACTAACTTCCTGTAGAGAGGATGTACTTTATCATCCAAAGTTTCAGTGCCAGGAGAGTTGTTCCTCACTTATGATGACGTCTTCTGTTCAGGGGGAGGGATGAGCTCAGGTGTCCGGAAAGAAAGTCACAATTGGGGTTAGAAAAAGTCAGGGATATAAACACATCTTTTAAACAGCCTAAATAATGTTAAGTTAGGTTAAGGTTTGTGACTTTTTTCCTACATTCAGGGATGATGACACATCATGGTGTACTGCGCACATCATTGTCATTCCTAAAAACCCCATTTAATTCATATTACGCTATATAACATTCAAATCCACCGCTTGTAGAACCTCAGAAAACGGGAAACATTGATAAAGGACAACTCACCTACTCAGTGTTCCTAGACCATGTGTTGTATTGTACCCAGGTACAGTTATATCATATTAATTGTATGTATTCATAGCATTAAGGAGAACTCAGGGTATCCATAAGATGAATGTTTAAGTCCAGTTGAGCCGGACTAGTGTACTGTAAGACTAAGTGTGGATCAGGGTTTGAAGGTCATACTATTTACGTCTGTGAGCGTGTAGCGAACATAACTTCCACAGATATCATATGAAAATACATGAGAACCATGATCTGGAAAAAGGATAAATGCATCAGAACTATGTGAGGTGTTGGAAGTGACCCAGAAACTATACTTGAAAGGAAATATCTTGTATGCGTCGGTATGAACTTAATACACCTCGTATCCTCACGTGACATATACCCACGACAGGTACAGTGATCAGAGAATCTTATGTCTGTGTTCAAATAATGAAATGTGTGAGAGGAGGATCCCTCATTACAGTTTTAAGTGAAGTTGATACACCCCCGCCATGAACATTCAGCCTTTGTTTTAAGGCGCGTCATGTACCCGCCTCGGGTGTGCCGCGTTGATATTATAACCCAATGAATTTACCCACGAACTAGCAAACCAAGACCTTACCTTAGTGGGGAATTTAGGATTAAAATATGTGTTTATAAGGCATGAGTGACAATATACTGGAAAGTGTTCAGGTGAGAACCGTAAGAAATAAAAGTAAAAATTGAAGATTGGAAACTGTAGGCCTACGGTGTGAGGAGCGGCGGGGCACTGCCCTCAGTACCCTCCGTTCTACCGTCACCTCAGGTCAGTGTCCTATCGGGCTATATCCCGCCCTATAATTAAGGTTTATATAGAAGTTATTACAGTTTAAAGCTTTGCCTGATACATAAGTGTAATAGTAATGTGTTAGGGGGTGTGATAACCGCCCGTCAGGCATTATTTCTCAGTTCCCTCCGTTCTACCGTCACCTCAGGTTCCATGCCGTCGGAGTGCCTTGCTGCCCGGCAGCCATTATCCCTATGAGCGTCCCAACAGGTGGTGACTACTCCTAGCTATGCCAATCCACTGTGAATCTGTGGATTTCCAGCACACCACTCCAAATGAGTAGTAACAAATAAGGAGACCGTGAGAAACTCTGCGGTCGTCACTTGGAGCGACCTATAATACCAGGCGTAGAAATAGTGCTGGTATGTCTCTGGGTGAAGCCCTCATCTTTACCCACCGAGGGCGGTGTGCGGACGAGGTGCCTGTTGTGTATACCTGAAAGTTACAAGGAGTCCCATACTTGCAGGTATGGAGTGTAACATGTGTGTTGAGATGGTGCTACTATGTATGATAACCGACGGCGCTATATTCCATACAGGTGGAGCAGTCTGATGTGTTAAGGGATAGTGTAAGAAGGAATGACCGAGGTAAGGTGGTCACAGATTGTTATGCAATAAGTATGTGGATGACACACCATTAATGTAAGACGTCTGGTGCCCATCTGGGTAACCAACATTTTCGTTGTTCTTCTGAGGAACTTAATTCATTTGTATGTTTTTTACCAGTATGCTTTATAAGGAATAAATTAATTAAGACATGTTATGGTTTCACCCTTCTTTCCCCTTATCGATCTGGTCAATGGAAAACCTAACCCAATGCCTAGTCCACTCTGCACGCTACCTAACGAGCTACATGCTGTCCAGAGAGGGTCTGGTGGCAGCGACCCTTAGAAATTAAGATTAGAGTTAAGTATTTACCCTTAGTATGAGTGACCCCAGTCTGGCAGTATAATGGAGAACCAGATCATTGTGCTCACTCAGTTAAGGTTTATTGATTCATCCAAGTGCTGTACCAAGATCCACACTGACACTTCCCTGGCCTAGCCTCCATCTAATGTATGAACATTTACAAGGTGAAAACAGCACTTTGAACTTTGTGGGTGATGTGTAATGGTATTTTAACTGGTATGTTTGTTTTAATACATAGAATGCAAATCTGTTTAGGAAGTGAGTTTCAAATATATACGTGGAACAGTTGACAGCTGTTTTGGTGTGACACTAATTGTTTTAATTAAGTTCTGAACTTTTAAGTGGCAGGTCTTGATGCAAACACTTCTTGGCATTATCTGTTTTATTGCTGAGAGCAGGTATATACACAGATATAATCTGAGAGAATATATTATGAATTTTTCTCCAGGGAAGTGTTGTGAATAAAACTTTGAGATAACCCTTCTGTTAAATGTAAACTTTCCTGTCTAGTGGTATGAAGAGTGCAGTGGATTCCTCCCCTACAAATGCTTTTGTCGCTGAGTAGCCGACCCTGCGAATTCTCCAGCCGCACCTCTGCACCTCGTGTCTAGGTCAGCAACCAACGCCGCCCTACATCACGGAGGTCAACTATTAAGCCACGCCTACCCCCGCTATATAAGACCTCACCTCGTGGTGACCTTGCTCTTTCTACCTACAGCCACGAGCAAGCAACACCTTCTCCTCTGCTCCTGCCTGGCGGCTCCCACTCCAGCCGGCGACCATGGCGACCCACAAGCTGGCCCTCCTCTGACCACCCTCACCAACCAGCTCTCTCTACTCAACGCTTGTATCCATGCTGCCTTCCCAGCACCAAGCTGCATTGTACATCCAATATAAAATACATACAGAGAGCACATTGTGAGTTTCCTTTCTCCATCCCATCCTGAGTGTGAACCAATATCCCATACCCTACAAGAGAACTGGCCCTCTCTGGGGTGTGAGAGAGTGGTAGCGAGCGAGCAGTGTTTACTGAATCGCCTGACCCTGGCTTGAGCCCTAATAAAGATACAGCCTCAGTGATCTAGTCATAAACAATATGGTGAATCACTTGTTGAATAATTTCATGAATAACTTGGAGTTAGGGTGTGAGGGTGCGTGTTCCCACTGTATCTAATCCACGCTCATCTTACATACTGTACTTCTCTTAGGCTTACTTACTCAGTTCCGTCACCTATTCTTTTGGTAGCATGGACATTCTTTTGGTAGCATGGTCGAGGGTCTAGGCACATGGGTATGGTAATTCTGGTATCAAGTCACTTGGACGGAAATAAAGGTAAAATACTGTGGGAGAAATGAATACACCTAAAGTACTCTAAAAACAAGTTTATTAATATGAAATCAAAGGGGAAAAGATATAGTATTAATCATATAACTACCAGGCTCAACTCCTGGGCTTATTGCAGACTCAGTTCCTACATTCTTACCCTTACTCACAACATTACTGGTGTTACATTACGTGGCACTCATTGTAGATTATTTTACTCAACATACGTTAATACTGACACTAGCATATACAGGGGTCCACTACCCGACATGGGATAATTATTTCCAACTAATTATCCCTAACATACATGTTACAACACTCTCTGTGGACATATACTTCCAAGGAGCAACCCAGGGTAGAACACTGGGGTTCACGACCGTTGTTATTGTGGGGGTAGCCAGACACATGGCGAGTCTGGGGTCTGGCCCAACGAAGCCGTGGGGCACATTAATCAGGCCGCATTTGTGCTATCGTTTCATATATGATCCCTGCTGGGTATCTACTACATCCGGGGCCGTTGTTGAATGGTTGCAAGAATCACAATGGGACCTGGAGAAACATTGAAGCAGCGTCAGGGAAGGACTGGGAAGCATGACAACACA